TTAGTCCCTTCAGTTTTATTTTTAACGTGTTTTGCTTTTGCATTTATACTTCAGACATAGGTGATGAGGCATAACATTCTGGCATTTGCAGAAACTGGTCCCCAAAAATAATCTCAGAAATATTGCTTATTTTGATGCAGCAGCATTTTGCTGTAGCATCTTCTACCTTTCAGTTTGTATGATATGTTGCACTTTATTAACAGTTTATTTAAACCATTGTTTTAACACTGCTAGGAAGAAAGATGTTTTTGATCCAATCTTGCACCTCTTACTTAGAAATAAGAAGTAGTGCAGGATTAGGCTCTTTGTTTTGCCCACACCTCAGAACATTCTTGTTTTTCATTTCACATATTGTCTTAGGCTGGACTTCCAAGTTTGCCACCTTCTCTTTGAATTCAAGAAAGTTTAACACATGATCTGATAAATTATATACTAAGGTGATTCTGATAGAAAATGTATCATGACTAACCTGTAGACTGAAAGACTCCAGGGTTACAAAGGCAATAGCGTGAAGCAAAAGCTTCCATCATACGGTCAATTTTCTGAGCCTCTCCTGGAAGTCTGAAACTCCACAGGAATTGCCTATGAAAGGGAAGTATAAACACTTCAGTAAAATAAGATCCATTCCAATATTTATACATTAGACATATATTGGCAATAATCAGCTTCTAAGCAGAAATTAGTAATTTGGTAAATAAAATGAGAAGTTATTTTAAAACAAATCTCAAAATTTAACTCATAAGCAATTAGAAAATATTTAACTCAGCACTCAACCAACAGCAATGCATGCTCACAGATAACACAACGTATTCTGGCAAGACCACGTATTCTGGTACAAATTTTGCAATTCTCTCCTTTTCCATGTTGTCAGAAGCGGGAAATACATAGGAGGCCATGCTTTCTAATTAGCTGTACCACAGTGCTTCTTCACTGCTAAAAGGAGCATATTCTTCTCAGGACTTTGTTGAAAGGAAAAGAGGGCTGTATTATACACAATAGCCCAGAACCAAAAAAGGTGGACTAAAACCCAATATCTTCATTTGAACCAACCAGACATAATGAGTCAATGCCTGGGATAGCGAGAGCCCTTCTTGACTGGGATGGATAAGGGACAGACTATGCTATCATGGCCAGATCTTAAAAAGGAAATGTGACCTCTCAATATCACTGCAATGGGACTTAAATTCAGATATAGGAAATAAAGTGTTCCTATTACAAGTATGAAATAAAAGTAGGTTTTGCCTTCTTCTTGGATTGCCCTTAAAAAAAAAAAAAAAAAAAAAAAAAAACGAACTGACAGGGATATAAAGCTGCAATAAAATGTTAAGCGAAATGATTGCAAGAACTGATCTAAAATTAAAAGAACTGTAGATTACAAATGGTGATTAAAATAAGATCCAAAATAGTATAGAACAGCAATATTGGCATTAATACAGAGTTTATAGGAAAGTGATGTTCTCAAATGCTATACCACATAAAATGTTTTTCACACTTCCTGTTGGCATATCAGTTTAGGAATTATTATTCGTGTTCTTAAGTCCAACCATCAAAGCTACAACTGTAAGGCAAAGTTAGGGCAGACAGCACAGCCTCTTGTTTGTGGCTTTACTTCTTTGAAGCTGGCCAGCTGAAACAATTTTACGTTCTTAAAACAGAAAGTAAATACGAGATCCACATCCATAAGATAATGACGTCAAAAAAGAAACCAAGGATTAGGTACAAAAAAGTGCCAGTCTAAAAAACACTTCCAGTGACTGATATTTTTACAACACTTCTGTATAGAGACTGAATCTCCTTTCAGGAGGGATGCCCTGTTGACATTTTAAACATTAAGCTTCCGAATTCATGAAAGTGAAGACCAAAAATATTTGCAAGCAAAACAGAGTATCTTAGGACATTTGTAATGGGTCACAGAACCTTTCATATCCAAGCTGCCAGTTCTAAACCACTCCAGATCAGCAGTGACTGAAAGAAGTTGCATCAGATTAGTGTTTGGTAGCATAAATGAAGTTAATTTTAATGGTTTAAAGCTCATTCCTGGTGGACATATATCTCAACACAAATGGGCCCCTTACTGGCAGTCTCAGAGAGAATGCAGAGTTGACTGGGCATGGAGAGTGAACTAGCACTAGCTATGCTGCACCTCTTCAGTGCATGAAATGAAGAATTTCACCTCAGAACCAGCAATCCAACACTTGCCATGTGTTCTAAAGAGAGCTGGTCTGAGAAACTTGGATGGAGCCATATTTTGTTGAAATATGCAGTTTTGTCAAAATGCTTCATGAAATCGAACCAATTTTGCACAAATTTTGTTTACAAAAACAAAACAAAAACAGGAAGAAGTCCTGACAATGTCAAAGAGTCAAAATCAAAATAAACCTTTCAATTTGTCTAAATGAAGCATTTTGAACAATCTGAAAAAAAATTATTTAAAAGGAATTTTCCTTTGGAGAATTTTTAAATTTTTGGTTTTCACTGCAATTTGGAATGAGGCTAAATTTCAAAGTCTTTAAATTCTTCACACAGCTCTAGTACTAAATTAACTTACAGCATATTTTAGGTGCAGAAACCAAGTGAAAGCGAAAGCTTGCCAGACTAATATAAAATAAGAGAGAACATTTTAGGTAAAGGATGCATGAAATCAAGCAGCTTCCTAAACCATATTGTACTATAGTTGTTTTGTTGTTGTTTGTTCGTTTGTTTGTGTTTGGTTTGATAACTTTATGGATTTGGTACAACATAACTGAAGTTTTGCTGCAATAAATCAATATTGGTCAATTTTAGTATCTTCCACAGCCTTTCAGTTTCACCTATAAAATTCAAGATTTGTGAAAACTCAAGTGAAAATAATACTGCATATATAGATAAGTCACTGTACTCCCCACGGTCCTATATGATAAAACATAAATGTTTGCATTCCCTGTATAGCATGTAAACTGAATTTTCATTCTCTGGGAAACTTCTGCTCTCAATTACTCGGGATTTACATTGCTGTCTCTCCATTGGCAATTAGATCAAGCAAAGGTGGGTCCCCCTGAAAAACTATTTGACCGGTCCTAAGTACAAAGCTTGTCTCCTTCCCACAAGCCCCAAACTGCTCTGCCCGAACAGCTGGATATGGTAGGGGAAAGCAGTAGGAAATAACTGCAAATGGTGCACTTCTGGAGAGAGTTAAAATCGCTTATTCATTTGCATCTTTTAAAAAAAGCCATGCCCACATTCACATTGCTAGGCCATTTATTAACCAGGTGTTCCTTTCTACAGTACCTTCCCCTTTGCCACGTTTTATTCTGTGTGCTACACCCAGCTGTTGCATCTTGTCTTCAGATTTAAAAAAAAAAAAAACTACAGAATTTATAAACTATGTTTGTACACCTCCCAACACAATGGGGCCCAATCCTGATTGAGGATTTTGGGAGCTACTATAATAAAATAATTAACAGCAGCAGCCTGCGGAAGAGTGGATTGAGGTTTGCTATTAAGAGGCAGGAGATGGAAGTATTGTGTATTCCAGACAGAACCATGGAGTCAGAGGAAACATCCTGATTCCTCAGGCAGCTCAAGTTATCACCACTACAAGCCTTAGTCAGCATAAAGCTGCTCTTATGACGCACCACATGAGAATGTAGCATGTGTAGGAAAGACCATATCAACATTTTAACCTGTCTGTTTTGGGGTGGGAGCCCCTTCCGGCTACAAATTTGACAGCACTCTCTAAACCCTGGCAATTCATTGGAATTAATCTGGATTTACACCAGGTTAACAACCAAATTCAAGCACTACATATTTTAACCTATCTGCTGCCAACCTGTGAAAAATAAGAAGTCTATTATTTACTTAACAAGAATAAATATGTTAAGAATTTAATTCTGAGGTGGTGGGAAGGAAGTGATGCGGAAAAGTAGAAGCAATACTTTGCTTTGACAATATTCTCTTTACAATGGAATCTAATCACCAATTCAGAGTCAGGGACTTTTTTGCTTATCTCAGAAAATTTGCACATGTGAGCTATTTGGCAGGCACATCAAGCATCATTTCATGGAGGATAGGTCCATCAACGGCTATTAGCCAGGATGGGTAGGGATGGTGTCCCTAGCCTCTGTTTGCCAGAAGCTGGGAATGGGCAACAGGGGATGGATCACTTGATGATTACCTGTTCTGTTCATTCCCTCTGGGGCATCTGGCATTGGCCACTGTCAGAAGACAGGAAACTGAGCTAGATGGACCTTTGGTCTAGCCCAGTATGGCCATGTTCATCTGAAACTGGTCTTTGCTCTTTGCATTTGTGTGAAATCATTAATTTCACGTATTAAGAGTTCAAAGGCAATGTATATGCAAACAAGCAAAAAAGAGTGAAACATGAAGATTTGTTTACTAACAAGATACAGAGTAAATCATACATTCAAGTCAAAGATCAGCTGCTTGAGTGAATCATCATCATCTATATACTTAGATTTAATTAAATATGAAGTTTGATAAAAGACAATTACAATGCACTCACCTTAAGGCTTGTACAAGATTGAGATCAGCAAACTCATGGAGTTCAACAAAAGCCTGAAGAACTTTAATATTAAATTCATCTCTGAGGGAAAAAAAACAAAATGACAATAGAGAATTACTACACCAAACCATAAACTTAAAGAACTGCTTCCTATTAATGCAAAAGATAGAAAGAAAGTAAGAAACTAACCAGGCAAATAGAATCCATCGTTAATCAAATGAAGCCATCATTAATATTTCTAACACATATTTAGCTTTGGGATATTTTAAGTGCAAGATTCTTCTCCCCATTTTGCTAAAATGAAATTTAACCTAGTAGGACTAGAAAGTGCTGCTGCTGCCATTAAAAACAGGAGCTGGCAAGAGCCTGTCACTCTACATTGATTTTAACTCTTTATCTAAATGATCTTCAAAATGACTCATTCTCTTTGTTCAACAGTTATTGTTGCACCTGTCTTGAAATGGGAACCTCAAGCAGTCTGGATAAATGAATGGAAAGACTAGAGAGTTTCATGGTATCTTGTATATGTTCAGCTATAATCCTTTGCCGAAATGCTATTTTGTAACTTCTTACAGCAATATTCCCAGAGAAAAAACGGTTACTAACACAGGCGCCGGCTTCCTCCTTTCCCTGGGGGTGCTCAACCCCTGCTCAGCCCCACACCCCGCCCCTGCTCCGTCCCAGGCCAGGCCTCCACTCCACTCCTTCCCACAAGGCCCCACCCTGCCTCTTCCCACCCAGTTCTGCCCCCTCCCCCGAGCGCGCCCCGTTCCTACTCCTCCCCCTCCCGCACGTCGTGGAACAGGTGATCCCGTCGGGCAGGAGGTGCTGGGGGAGGGAGAGGGGAGCTGGCTGCCAGTGGGTGCTAAGCACCAAGCACCCACGAATTCGGCACTTATAGTTACTAACCTTCCATAACTCTTGTTCTTCGAGATGCATTGCTCACGTCCCTTCCATGCTAGGTGTGTGCGTGCCGCATGCACCATTGCCAGAGATTTTCCCCTTTGTGGTATCCATTGGGCCGGCTCTAACACCCTCTGGAGCCACATGCTTATATGCCGGTATAAGGGGCTCCACTGGCCCTGCACCATCTCAGTTCCTACTTGCCATTGACTCTGACAGAGGGGTAGGAGGGTGGTCATGGACTGTACATGAGCAACACATCTCAAAGAACAACAGTTACAGAAGGTTAGTAACAGTTTTTTCTTCTTCAAGTGCTTGCTCATGTCCATTCCATGTTAGGTGACTCACAATCTGTACCCCAGGAGGTGGGCTCGGAGTTTACAGACATGCTGATTGCTACACTGCTCTTCTGAAACTGGCACTGTCTCGAGCCTGCTGGATGATGGCATAGTGGGACGCAAAGGTATGCACTGAAGATTAGGTCGCAGCTCTGCAGATGTCCTGGATTGAGATCAGCGCGAGGAATGCTGTTGACGAAACTTGGACTCTCGTGGAACGAACGGTTACGATGGCCGGAGGCGGGATATTCACTTGCTTGCAGCAAGCCTGAATAGAAGCAGCAGGGCTACTAACGGCTTGACAGGGGAGGCCCCATGAGCTTTGACAGGACCAGGTTTAAGTGCCATGGGGGGAGGGGTTGGTTTGCAAACTTGAGAATACAGTCTTTCCAAGCCCTTGAGAAACCAGACCATTATTTCCTGTACCTTAACAGATGAGAGGGCCAGGTCCTGCTGTTTTAAGTGGAGCAAATAGTCCAAGATAGACTGAAGGGAAGATCGAGATGGAAAGAGATCACATTCAGAAGCCCAAAAAGCAAAACATTTCCACTTGCCCAAGTAGGTAGCCTTGGCGGAAGGCTTTCTACAACCTAGCAAGACCTGCCAAACCTGTTCCAAGCAAGGTTGTTCTTCAGGGTTCAGCCATACAGCAGTTAGATGCAGGGAGGCGAGATTCAGATGAAGTAACCGGCTATGGTCTTGTGAAATCAGATGCAGATGGAGCGGGAGAGAGTGGAGCTGCCACCGAGAGGTCCAGGAGCATGCTGAACCAATGCTGGCGCAGCCACGCTGGTGCTCTCAGGGTAACTCTTGCCTTGTCCAGTTTGATTTTTAGAAGAACCTTGTGAACCAAGAAAATCAGGCGAAAAGCGTACAGTAGGTGGCCGACCCACAAGTGCAGGGAGGCATCCGAGAGGGAGCCTAAGCTGTGCCCACGCAGCAAACAAGACTGCTGACATTTTCTGTTCTGCCTGTTGGCGAGCAGGTTCACCTGGGGAGGCCCCCCACTTTTGGAAGATGAATCTGGCAACCTCTGGGTGAAGGGACGACACGTGGTGAGAGGAGAAGGATCAGCTGAAGTGATCCACCAATACATTCTGGCCTCCCGAGAGATGTGACGCCTCGAGATGAGAGTGTCTCGCACAGAAGTCCCATAGGTGGACAGCCTCCTGACACAGGGCCAAGGATGGAGCCCTTCCTTGCTTATTGCTATAGAATATGGCCACTGTATTGTCTGCCAGGACTTGTACCACCGTGTCTGAGATCTGGGAAAGGAACAGTTGGCATGCTAAGCGAACCGCCCTGAGCTCCCTGATGTTTATGTGCAGGGAGAGTTCTTCCTGGGACCGGAGGCCCTGAGGTTGTTGAGGTGGGCTCCCCACCCTAAGTCTGACGCATCTGAGACTAAGGATACCGATGGTTGTGGGGTAAGAAAGGGCACCCCCATCATTGCCGACCTGGGGTCTTTCCACCAGTGCAGGGAGACGAGGGCCTGTGAGCACTGAGTTCAAGTGGTGTCTGCTCAGGGAATAAACTGATGCTAGCCACATCTGGAGGGGTCTGAGTCACGTATTGAACCACGTAAGTACAAGCCACCATGTGACCCAGTAGCCTGAGGCACACCCCGAGCTGTTGCGATTGGGTGGGCCATGACTTTGGATATCAGGTCTGACTTGGTCTGGAAACAGGCTTCCAGCAGGAAAGCCTGGCTTGGATCGAGCAGAGCACCACCCTGATAAATTCTATTCTCTGAACCGGGACAAGAGTTGACTTCTGCTTGTTTATCAGCAGGCCCAGTGTCCTGAAGGTGACTTGGACTGTGCTAATACTGTTCTGTACTTGAGCCTGTGACCGACCTTTGATCAGCCAGTCATCAAGGTACAGGTAGACTTGTACAATTTGCTGCCTGACTAAGGCTGCTACAACCACCATTCACTTTGTTAATACCCATGGGGCTGCCGATAGACCAAAGGGGAAGGCGGTGAATTGAAAGTGGCGCTGACCCACTATAAACCTGAGAAATCTTCTGTGGCCACGGAAGAGAGAAATATGAAAATATGTCTCCTTTAAGTCGAGGGCAGTGTACCGGTCTCTTGGGTCCAGGAGGAAATGATGGAGGCAAGGGAGACCATGTGGAACCTCAATTCATTAAGGTATCTATTGAGGTGATGCAGGTCCAAGATAGGCCGGAGGCCCCCTTTGGGCTTTGGGATTAGGAAGTACCGGGAGTGGAATCCCTTCCCTCTCAAGTCTTGAAGAGCTTCCTCCACAGCCCCTATCAGTAGGAAGGATTGCACTTCCTGGACGAGGAGATGCTCTTGATAAGGGGTCCTGAAAAGGGAGGGGGAGGGAAAGTGGGAGAGGGGTGAGTAGAAACCGCAGGGTATAACCAGCTGTCACCGTGTTCAGGACCCAACAGTCTGATGTTATGAATGACCATGCCAGGCTGAAGAGATAGACAGTCCGAAAATAAAAGGGGAGGCGGATTTGAAACGGTGATGGGTACAGCGCCCTCGGGTGCACCTTCAAAAGGCCTGCTTGGGTCCACCAGAGTATCTCTGAGACCCCCACTGGGAGGCTGAGTTGGGCGGAAGTGGTTGGTACCATCTATAACCCTTCTCTTTTCTTGGAGGCACCAAGAACCAAGGAGACTGCTGGGGCCTAAGGTCCTTTCTGGAAGCAGACAGAGTGTACAGGCCTAAGAATCAGAGTGGCCCTTGAAGCCAGGAACAACACCTCATGGTGACTGCAGAGGCCATGGTCCGGGCCGCTGAGTCGGCAGCATCCAGAGCCACCTGGAGAGAGGTGCTGGACTCTTGGGGCAGGGAATCTTTGCATTTATTCAGGGAGTCCCATAAATAAAGTCCTATCTCCCCAGCGACGCTTGCTGGTTGGAGATACAGCAGGAGGCTACCAGTGGAATAAACCTTTCTTCTGAAAAAGTCCAGTCTCTCGACATCTTTCTGTTTTGAGGTAGCACTTGACTGGCCCTGCCTGTCCCTTTCGTTCACTGCAGACACCACCAGGGACCCTGGGGGCTGCGAGTACAGGTATTCGAACCCACTTGCTGGCACTTAATACTTCTTCTCTGCCCTTTTTGAAGTGGGGGGCCAGAGAAGAAGGAGTTTGCCACTGGGCCTTGACTGGCCCCATCACTGCCTCACTGATGGGCAGAGCCACCTTGGATGGAGCTGCTGCAGCCAGGATATCAATAAAGCGGTGCAATGTCTCTTTGAGCTCCTCAATTTCCAGGCCAACATTTGTAGCAACCTGCTTTAGAATGTCCTGATGGGCCCTGAAATCATTCTGTGGAAGCAGGCTACTGGGACCCGCACCAGCCTCGTCTGGGGAGGAGAAGGAGGGGGCTAGCACCGGTGGTAGGGCTCTCTCCTCTTTGTCTGCCTGGACTATGCCAATGGAGGCAACAGGGTCAGTACCGGATTTGAGCAGGAAGGAGCGGTAGCCCATCCTTCAGAAACCACTGAGTAGGAGCAGTGGTAGGAAGGATCCGGTAGGGGGGGGGGGGGGAAGGAGGAGATAGGACCCCCAGGGGTTCCATTAGGGCCACTGCTTCAGCCAGTAACTCACTGGCCAGGTGCCTGCTGGAGGACTGGTACTGAAGCTCGGTGGAGCATAGGCTGGGTATCGATGGTGGGCTTTTGGCGGTACATAAGGTTCCCTTTCGGATTCCGAAGAGGATTCTTCTCTCGGCAACCACGGGGGAGCAGTACCCGCTTCCGCCTCCATACAGTGACAGGGCTCCAGGGACTGGTGGTGTCCTGGAGATCGGGACGCTGGGATCCCTGTTCCCTCCTGCTTCCGGACGCCGGAGCTGGTAGGTGTCCCATTGGCCTTGGTGGGACCAAGAGAGAGAGAGAAGGTCCCTAGCCACCTGAAAAGCCTCTGGAGTCAATGATACTGTCAGTGTACAGGCACCGTAGTGGCCTCCTGGTCTCAGTGGAGAGCCCTGCACCAGGCTTAACGCCCTCAGCAGAGTTGATGGTGCCGACATGGGTCCAGGGGCAGAAGAGTGGCCAGGCCTGGGTCTCACTCACTCCTTGCTTCTCTCTCTCCTGCTCTCTCGGCCCACTGCTTCTTATGCTTCTCCCTCCGCACCGGAGATGGAGAACAGCGCCGGGAAGAGCTCATTGCCGTTGGAGTACTTCGCAGCAACACCAAAGTACTCAGCACCGAATCGGAGAAGCTCGGCTCTGAGACAGGTCTGAGAGTGGCTTCCCCGGGGATAGCCTTCAGTCTGATGTCCCCGTCTTTTTTGGTGCGGGGTCTGAAGTCCCAACAGACTTGGCTCTTGTCCTTCGTGTGAGTTTTGCCCAGGCACTTTAAGCACCTGGAGTGCAAGTCACTCACGGGCATAGGCTTGCCACAGGCGGCACAAGGCTTGAAGCCTGGGGACCTGGGGCATGCCTGGCCACTGGGGCAAAGAAGTCCCTCACGATAGGAACTAACTAAACTAAACTAACTTATATATATATATATATACACACACACACACACACACACACACACACACACACACAACTTGAAATATAGACACTACACTATGATAACTATGAATGTAGAAAAAAGTTTAAAAACCACTAGGAAGAAGCCTTTCCAAAGCAAGAAGGGTCGTTCCAGCAACCGTCGTGGGCAGTAAGAAGGAACCGAGTGGGTGCAGGGCCGGCAGCGCCCCTTATACCAGCACATAAGCATGTGGCTCCTGAGGGCGCCAGAGCCGGCCCAACGGATACCACTAAGGGAAAAATCTCTGTCAACAGTGCAAGCGGCGCACCCACACCTAGCATGGAATGGACATGAGCAAGCACTCGAAGAACAACAAAACATTACTATGCTTTCTTTAGCAACAGCACACTAGAGGGGGAAAAGAGTCATGTTCCCCCCTCTCTCTCTCATCCCCTTCTCCTATAGGACAGAACCATCACTGCCAAACTGTTAAATCAACAGCTATCAATAAGGCCTGCTCCCTAAATACAGACCTAAAAAGGAATAATAAAATACCACTTGACGCATACAGTATCCTTAGTCCATTCTGAGAAATCACTGCACTGAATGCTTCTTTCCCAAGATCACGCTAAAAACATAATAGGTATTGAATTTAATTTCCCCCTGTATGTCCCTTAAACTTCTAAACAAAACCAAAGTTAGAATGAGTTTAAGTATGCAATATGGTATGCAATTTTTGAAATGCAAACAGAAATTTAATACAACAAGAACAACCTGGGTCCACGTGTAATTTAATTTCAACACCAAACCTGACAGTAGTGCAGTCTATATCTAGGACTTTGGGGGTAGAGGGAGAGGGAAAATCAAGTTGTGGTGTTGTTTACCTCCTACCTCACCAGTAATAGTAACTGACAACAGTTTTAGTATGGTTCAAGGGACAGAACAGAATTCACTTCACTTTTGCATAGCTGAACTGACACAACATTGCTAAGAGAAGTAAAAACTTGATTACATTAGTAAAGTTAGATGTACACAGCAAGCAGAAATGTTGCATAAAAATTAGCTTTTTTAATATCCACATTTCTGACTTCACGCTGGATATTTTCCATGGTTTTCTGGCCAAATATTAGCCACATATCATTGCAGTCATATTTTCAGTTCTTCTCATGTTTTAATTGCCACTCTGTAGATTGACACTAATTTCTGAGTCATAATTTGACATTTAATGTTGGTTACTATATTAGTTTTCAGTTAACTGTTCAGAATTCAAGAAGATGGAAACTGAGTTGTGTAGACACAGTATACTCACACAACTGAAACCAATGAAATTTTAGGGATTAGTTAGGAAGAGACAAACAGCACAGCTTGATTTTTTCAGATCCTAGATGAAGACTGCAGTGTTGGCAGGTTTGGGATGGGAAGAGGTAGGAAATAATCTTTTGAATTGTAAATTGAGCTAGTTTGCTATGATCCTGCAGACACCAACTCCTGAAAATAATCTCAGTGACTTCAGTGGCACTATTGATGTGAGCAAGGACGAGTTGCATGACTAAGGGTTTGAGGATCAGGCCCTGAGAGGAAAAAATATTATTTCAAGATCAGATGCCAGAGTGAAAAAGAGAAGAAACATGGATTACTTTACACAAACTCTATTGTAATTATGGAGATTAAGTTAATAATGCATAGGGGAGGTATAGCGATCTATAAAAAAAAAAAAAAAATCTACATTTTCATTACTTGTAGTTGAAATATTCAAAATGATGTTTGGAATGTTTCTCAGAGGTCTAGTTCTCGTGTTTATGCAAAAAGTTGAAATTCCTACATACTGTGCATCATGTCACAGTATAAACTTTCATTATACCTACTTAACTCTAAGGGCCTATAGCGAACTGCAAGCTAAAACCCCAATCCTGTAAATAGATTCCATGTGGGCTTAAGGGTGTTATGGCAGAGAAGATCAGTTTACAAGAGTAGGGCCCAAGTGACTAGGCTATTAAAACTCTAATTGGCATCTGATTTTGATAAAAAATACAGGCAAGAGTTATGTCTGTAGTCTTTTCAATGAAGAAAGAGATGAGTTTACAGGTTTTACCAGTGATACAATTTTGCAGCTGAATTTTTTTTTAAACAAATACTTTCTGTACTGCATTACAACTGAAGTAATCTGCATATTTATTGTGCTGTACATGATAAAAGCTAAGATGCATTCTCCCCTTTAGGTACCTACTTAATACCCATTAACGTTAATAGGATGTATATGTGCAGGGAAGAAGACAACACTAAATAAAAACAGCTGACTATCATTAGTCTAGGCACCAACCTTTTGAATGATGAGCAATTTTCTCATCATCTAGTTACTAACATCATGAAGCATTCTTTGTCTGGGCAGATCATTAAGAACTACTACAAGATTGTTAAAATATGATTCTGAAACCTTCCAGAAGTTTATGACATTAAATCTTGCACAATAACCAAATCTAGAAAAACTATTTTATTTTTCAGAGTAATGAATTGTGTAAGCAATGTGTGATATTTTCATAATTCATCCATTTTTAAAAAAGCTTCTTATAGCACAGTACTTTTACTTCCCAATATAACTTTTATAACCCTCAGGGTACAATGTACCTCATGCAGCCAGTGAAGGTGAGAGAGAGACTGATAAAAAGTGTAATTCTCCACTAGAGCAATCAAGCGATTAAAAAAATTAATCGCGATTAATCGTGATGTTAAACAATAATAGATATTGTTAAATATTAACAATTAAATATTTTTGGATGTTTTCTATATTTTCAAATATATTGATTTCAATTACAACACAGAATACAAAGTGTACAGTGCTCACTTTATATTTATTTTTATTACAAATATTTGCACTGTAGATAAAATAAATAGTATTTTTCAACTCACTGAATACAAGTACTGTAAAAAATAACTGCATTCAAACATGAACAATATAAAACTTTAGCACCTACAAGTCCACTCAGTCCCACTTCTTGTTCAGCCAATCGCTCAGACAAACAAGTTTGGTTACAATTTGCAGGAGATAATGCTGCCCACTTCTTGTTTACAATGTCACCTGAAAGCGAGAACAGGTGTTCACATGCACTGTTATAGCTGGCGTCACAAGATATTTACGTGCCAGATGCACTAAAGATTCATATGTCCCTTCATGCTTCGACCACCATTCCAAAGGACATAAGTCCATGCTGATGACGGATTCTGTTCGATAACGATCCAAAAGCAGGGCGGACCATTGCATGTTCATTTTAATTATCTGAGTCCGATGCCACCAGCAGAAGGTTAATTTTCTTTTTTGGTGGTTCAGTTTCTGTAGTTATATCAGAGTGTTGCTCTTTTAAGACTTCTGAAAACATGCTCCATACTTCATCCCTCTCAGATTTTGGATGGCACTTCAGATTCTTAAATCTTGGGTCTAGTGCTGTAGCTATTTTTAGAAATCTCACATTGGTACCTTTTTTGCGTTTTGTCAAACCTGCTGTGAAAGTGTTCTTAAAACAAACATGTGCTGGGTCATCATCCAAGACCGCTAGAACACGAAATATATTGCAGAATGCGGGTAAAACAGAACAATTCTCCCCCAAGGAGTTCAGTCACAAATGTAATTAATGAATTATTTTTTTAACAAGCATTATCAGCATGTCATCTGGAATGGTGGCCAAAGCATGAAAGGGCATACAAATGTTTAGCATAGTTGGCACATAAATACCTTGCAATGCAGGCTACAAAGGTGCCATGCAAATGCCTGTTCTCACTTTCAGGTGACATTGTAAATAAGAAGCAGGCAGCAGTATCTCCCGTAAATGTAAACAAACTTGTTTGTCTTAGCGATTGGCTGAACAAGAAGTAGGACTGAGTGGACTTGTAGGCTTTAAAGTTTTACATCGTTTTGTTTTTGAGTGCAGTTATATAACAACAACAAAAATCTACATTTGTAAGTTACACTTTCATGATAAAGAGATTGCACTACAGTACTTGTATGAGGTGAATTGCAAAATACTATTTCTTTTATCATTTTTACAGTGAATATATTTGTAATCAAATATAATAATATAAAGTGAGCACTGTACACTTTGTATTCAGTGTTGCAACAGAAATCAATATATTTGAAAAATGTAGAAAAACATCCAAAAATATTTAATAAATTTCAATTGGTATTCTATTGTTTAACAGTGTGATTAATCGTGATTAATTTTTTTAGTTTGTGTGAGTTAACTGCAATTAATTGATAGTCCTACTCTCCATGTATTTAAACATACTATATAACGAAAGAAGAGATAAATTTGTTTCAGTTTACCTCTCACCAAGGTAATCTCCAATTACAGTTTTATTTAGTCCTTCCCCTTTATAGAGGAACTGTGCAATGTCTTCTGGAGTGTTCTGCAGCAGGTCATTTTCTATAAGAAACTGGATCCCCTAGGAAAAGAAATTTAAGAGGAAGAAGAATTATGCTTCCTTTCACAAACATTTATTTGAACACTGTCCAGGATATTTTGGGATGAATACACAGAGATATACATATCCGTACCATTTTCCAATTTAAAAAAAAATCTGTAGATTAAATTAGAGAAATCATTTATCTTTCAGGTAACGAAACTAGACATCTGTTCAGTCAGGTAGGTAATTTCTAGAATTAATTTACAGATCAGAAAAAGGAATTCCTAAGGTTGGAAACAGCAGGTGGCAATTTAAATTCCTTAAATATAGAAAGATATTTAATTGAGTAACTATTCCATATTGGCCTTGGGAAGCAAACTGAAAGGGGAGTTAGCATTTAACAAAATTCAAATCAGTCCATGTTACTTCATTAATATCGGGCAGAGGGCATAATCTGTGAGATCACATAAAGAGAGATACAGGGACAACATAATTTACTTATCATCATACTACAAGATAAAGCATCTGTTATAATTTGCAATACCATGACTGAATGCATCAAGTCATTACTTGCAGTAGAAATTATGATTTGAGATAATTAATCCCATTTTGAGAATTTATGGGAAATCTTGGCATTAGGATGGTAATTAATTTCTGTCCCTGCTTGAACTAAATTATTCAAAGAGAGGATCCCATCATGGCAAATAAAGCCCAATGAAGTCAATGAGAGTCTTTCCATTTCATTTAATGAGCTTTCAATCAAGCTCATTCAGAGATGGGCTGAGGAAACAAGAGAGAGTAACCCTATAGAGAGTCAAGAGACAGGAAAGTTTTGGCTTGTCCATCCTCAGATGCCTTTTTAGCCTTTGTACTTCCTAAATATTCTCATGAGATAGAGAGTCCTTGATATACAGTTTCTAGGGAAATCCAGAAGGCTTTCTGCAAAGAAATGAGGAAAGGACATTTTCAAAAACTGTATTAACATTATAGAAGTCTTAAGGAATAAAAGGGATGCTGTGTTAGCTTTTAAAAGGATACTCAAGTCCCAGACAGATATTTCTCCAAGACAATATTTCTCTAACAAAAGGTCTTAATTTTTCCATTGCTTTCACAAAATTTATAACAAATGTTGGGAGAAAGTAGCAATGGCAGCTCCATACAACTTTGAGGTCCTGAATTCTATCCATATGTGGAAGAGTTCACTAAATTATTAAAATCTTTGCCACTGAAACACATCCTGAGATTCCACTTGTTATTTTTAGAGATAAAAGCAAAAAACTTCTCCATTTCTGTAAATGGATATTGTTTATTGTTGTTTTCCTCCAGATTTGCGGGACATCCATCATCCTTGAAAAGGTAGGGAGAGGGAGGAAGAAAAAATACTGTACTACTTCTAATTTTACCTTCCACTGTCCAAGCCATTAGTGGAAACATGAAAATATTCTTATGGTTGGTTGATTTAGTTTGTTTTTGCAACAGTACCCTTACCTGCCTGGTAAGGAGGATTAGTTTGCTGACTGCAATCTACTTTAGGAGGGCAAACCTATTGCCATTCAGTCTTGAAGCTTTTTTTTTAAGCCAGAAAGACCATTCACTCTCTTGAAGTTTCGCCACTGGAAAAACTACTTTCAGTGTCAGGATAGAACATTGATGTTTATGACTCTCTTTTCAAATCACAGAGAAAGACATGATTTCTTTGCAAAGAAAATATTTCAGTTTTATCTTGTAGTAGCAGTAGCTGTGCCTTCCTCAGACATAATGATCCCCCTGAACTTTGCTTGATAGTTGGATGTGTTGACTACTTAGCTAGACAAAAAGATGCTCCAAAGAGGAGTAAACGTAGGCAAATAAAATGAACTTTTTGTTTTCAAGAATAAGTTTGGTACATGTCTGAAAAGAGCACTGTGACAATTAGGAGATTATTCCAAATTAAGGAACAAATAAGGTTCATCAGGATACAAACATTTTCAGCTTTAAAAAACACAAACCACCACTGAAAGCCATAAATCTGTCAAGCACAGAAAATCCTGTAGGAGTTCTAAAGGATGCATTCCAGAGGTGTCGTAACTGTGGAGTTGTTAAAGCAGTTGTTGATTTTTTTCCACTTAAATCAGTATTAAAATCGCTACCATACTTAAATAATTTAATTTTGTCTTTAAAATGTAACACCATAACTCTTCAGAGGATGATTGAATTTTCTATACTTCTTTGGTCAAAAGACTATTTTAAAATGAGCCCTTTTTGTAAAAAAAAAAAAAAAAAAGTTTTTAAATCTCTTATAGTTAAGAACCAGTCCCTATAAACTCCATCGTCTCTCTCTTTCTCACACACACGCACACACACAATATCTCCGGGATAGGATCATTTTCAAAGTTTGAAAGAAACACATGCAATAGAGTTATTCCCCTTATTTGTCACTCTAATTCAGCTCTACAAAGGGAAGAGAAAGAACTGCCCAGTTACCCTATTTCTGTTCTCAAAAATTATTTTCCTATTTCTCTAGTCCTTGTGCCCTGTCCTCACCTACAAACTTTACTCTATGCACCTCTGGTCCTCCATCTTTCCATGCTTCATACTCTCATTTGTTAAACCTAGCAGGGGTTATGCTGATTTAAAAGAATGAGCTTCCTTTGATATGAGGGCATAGGACATCCTTTCAGACAAGCGTCAGAAACAACAGCTATGTCAGTAATGAAGCTGCAAGTTCCCTTTCTTTGGCATCTTTAGCGCCTCATTCTTTTTTATGCATCTATGACTGTGTTCAATTCTGGTCGCCTTATCTATAAAGAATATAGCAGAAAGACAATTCCATGAAAAATGATGGAAATTATTAGAGGCCATGAGAAAGCTTTTGTGTGAAGACAGGTTGAAAAAGATTGTGAAACGTTTACTTTTAAAAGGGACAGGAGAAAGGTATCAAATTAAAGAACAGAACAGAGACAGTAGATCGAGAAGTTCAGTTAAATTGGAAGGATACAAATGTAACTAGCTTGTTAAACTCATTGCCACACGATACCATAGAGGACAGCAAAATTCAACAAAGGACTGGACATCTCTATGGTCAGTAAGGACATCCAGAATTCCATTAGTAAGGTTTTTCAAAAACAAGTTTAGCTAAATCCTAGTTTATAAGCCAACCTCTCTCTACTTGCAGGAGTTAGGAAGTAGCTTTCCGTATGAGCAGGTTAATCCTTTACTGTCTACTTCTTATACCTCTCTCTAAAGCATCTAGTACTAGCCATTGTCAGAAATACAATATTGGACTAGATGGACCACCAGTGTAATCTGCTATGGCACTTGCTATATTCCCATTATAGACTATAGAACAGTGATTCTCAAACTTTTTTTTACGTGGACCACTTGCAAATTGCCGAGGGTCTCAGCGGGCCACTTAATGATCTTCCAAATGTTTGTACCGCTAGCTAACTATTGTAAAGCGCTTTGGATAAAAGCGCTATATTAAAAAAAAGTTATAATAATTAACTTTTTTGGTTCTACAAATAAAAGCACACAACTCATATTTTAATATCAGTAGCCTTACCTTTCTATGCGATAGATGTGCCTTCTCTCCCTTGCCGTGGCAGCCCCCGAGCTGGGGCTGGGAAGGATGGGGGTCTCTCCCCCACTGCAGCAGCCCCCGGGCTGGGAAGGAGGGCCATCTCTCCCCAGCAGCCACAGCCCTGGATCTGCGGAAAGTAGCCTCTTTCTCTGGCCACCGCAGCCCTACACATCCCAAATTCCCCCACCCCCTCTTCTCACTCCACTGCCACCTCCCACCATCCCCTATTCCCCTCAAGGCTACCACCGCACCTTACGTGTGCGTCTTCTCCAGAGTCCAGGCACCTAATTAGTGGAGCCACACCTGTGCGGCTCCACTAATTAGGTGGGTGACGCTTCATTTTCTCATGTGCGGCTGCCCAGGTGTGCACCTTAGAGGGAACTATCTGTGGACCACCTGAATGGAGCTCGTGGACCACTGGTTGTCCGCGGACCACAGTTTGAGAACCTCTGCTATAGAATATGTATTCCCATGGGGGATATATTTTACCATAGAGGTTGGAATTAAAGTTTTGCATTCAGGTGGGATTGTGAGGAATTTGATGTTTGCATTGTGGCTGGACTAGAATGGCATTTTCTTGTGCAGCACAGGAGAAAGTGAGGATGGCCGGGTATTGGAAAGGTGGTATAGTGTAAGAGTTGAGATTACTGTGATATCAGTTTAATATATTATTTTCTTGATTTTTAATTATTGCATTATTTAAAAATACACTGGCAAAACTAATGTAAAGTTAGGGACACTTATGCATGCTAGATTAACAAGTTCACTTTCTTACAGAAGCTAGAATAGGTGAAAACTTCCTTTTAGCAGAAAAATTATGCAGAAAGGCCATCAATTCAGAATATAGGCCTTCTAGATCTGATAAAGTAGTCTATTATAGATAACATTATTTCAATGTATGTATAGTACCTTACAGAAGGCTGAATGGAGTTATGTGCTGTCTTGTTTTTTCATTACAAGTATGTAACAAGTAAAGTGGATTCATCATCAGACAATTTTGAACGCATACAGAAATGGCTAGGGGGAATTAGTTATAATCTCCAAAACAGGTCTTAATGTATCTATTTTAACTGAAATATAAGGACATCCCATCAACCCTACCCTTGTCTTCATGAAGCTAATCAGGTTTCTTAGATCTAATAATACCTCTTTTCTGCAAATCCAAATCCTCAAATTACCATCCACAGAAACAGTCATCTTAAATACCCTGCAAACCAGGACTCAATTTCATTTTCCTTTGTAGCAGAAAAGAGGTGATAAAGAATTAAGAGGCAGATAGACAGGAAGAGGAGATTTGTCTGGGACAACAACAGTGTCTGGAAGAAGTGGGTCAAATAGATCACTCAAATACCCCTGACTCCCACTCTAGATTTTGTCTCTCTCTGTACTGCTTTAGCCTCTGTTGACTAATTTAAGACAGGAGACAGCTGTATTAGTTTGCCTTCTCCACATAAAACACGATTACAAAAATGTATTTATACATTCACTACAAATATTAAATATATTTTTCTTAGTCAGCTATTAATGACTTCAATTAAATCAGCTTTGAATTTCAGTTTATATTTTAGAGTTAATCATAAAGTTTTATACCTCCCAAGAAGAACTGTCTTTCGAGATCCACCACAGACAATGTGTATCAAGCCCCAGCTATGATTTCATACTTCAAATTCACATACTATGGTGCTTTTCACACAAAACCCAAAAGCATTTTATAAACTTTACAGATTTAGAGCCCTGTTCACATGAGATCAAAGCTAAACTGGTTTTGAAAAGATATATACAATAACACCATGTAACTGCATCAAATGAAACAGTTTTCAAATCCAGTTCAGTGTACCCATGGAACAAATCAGCAAACAAAGTCAAATATAATAAACTCTTACCCACAAAAGGTTCAATTAGGATGGGTAACAGATTAGCCGGATATGAAAATTGCATAGCACTAATTTAAACTAGGAGTTCACAGACACTTTGAATAGAGTGGATCCCATCCAATAAAAAGACCATTCTGTGAAGTCACCTTCCCTTCCATTCGTGCTCACACAATTATCCCACTTATTTCACATTCCTGATCATGCAGACTGCCTTCTCTCCTATTTGTGATCAAAAACAATATTCCTGTTGCAACAATAGCAAATTATTCTATGAAGAGCAACATTAGGAAAGTATTTAATGTATTTTTAGCTCCCGTGAATTCAACATAGCACTTGCAAAGATAAGCCAGCACCATGTTACCACCCAGCTCTTGCAGACCACCGCTGTTTCACAGACCACAGCTTCAGAGTGCTGATGTAAACCCATTTCCCACAGATAAATAATGTTATAGTAGAAATGTGGCCAGGGCTTCTACACATAGGAATAATTTCACCCACCTGTGAACTATAGCCATCACTGCAAGAAAAGTACCTGAACTCATTTTTCAATTTGGCCACAAACCTTCTAGGCAGTAAAACAACAGGACACTTGAAAGCATGGCACCCCAAAACAAAAACAGAAAGGAGAAGAAAAAAAAAACCACCCGCCAAAAGATACAGGTGAAAAAGAGGAAACTATGGCCTATTAATCTAAATAAGATTATTTAGAAGAAAAAGACAATTTATAGGTTATAATAGCCTAAGTAACATACAGAGTTGTTAATTGAAAACACTGCTGTAAGTGAACCATTAAGTCATCCAAATATATTCAAGTTCAACATTCTTGAGACGGAATCGTACCAAAAACTAGCACAGTGACCCCAAGCTTTAGTAAGGAAGATTTTGGGGAAAAAAAATATGATGTTAATATAGATATCATTCAGCTACTCAAAATCCAATCCTAATGAACTCAGAAAGCAGTAAACAATACATCAGGGGAAATACACAATGGAAATTAGGAAGGGTAAAGAAGGGATTTGAAGAGCAATTAGCCAGATATGTTAAAGCAACAAGAAATTCTCAGTTTATCAGGAGGAGACACCTGCAAGAGAATTGGTGAGTCCTGGACTATGAGGGGGAAAAGGGAACAATTAAGGAAAATAAGAACATTGCAGAGAAGCTAAATGATGTCTTCACATCAGTCTTAACCCTAGACATACATTTCTTCAAATAATAAGCTAAGAAATATTTATTTTAAAGTGATTACTATGTTTCTACTTGCAATTATTTGTGTAAGTGCTATTTATGAATGCACATAATTGCACATTAGCATTTGTGTATATAAATGTAGTGGTTTATATGAGCAGTTAATTGTGAGCACAAATTAAAAAGCCAGGTAGGAGACTATATAACAAAGGGCTCCAAACTTCTGACCAAACTGTAAAATATTTTTAGGACTGAATTTAGCACATCAACACAGAATATCTCCATCGAGTGTTATCAGGTCTCTATGCAAGCGTGCCACAATGAGTATACTGACAAACTTACCTACTGTATTTAAAATTCTGACTACAAGAAAGATGTTTGCTCTAACAGATATATAATTTATTATTCTTTTAATTATCATTGTAGTAAAGGGTGGAGACCATTAGCTTTTGGGCCCATCTTCATGATGATTTTGCAAGACCATAAAAGTGTCCTGATGAATGTTTGGGGAGTTTTAAAATGCACCGTTTAATTTAACTTTAATTGATTACCACCAGTATGGACTGCATTTGCCAAAAATAATACCATTAACAATAACTTAAATCCTGACAAATACAAATTGTACTACCTTCTTAGGGTCCATGTTGAATTTCTTCCTTCCCATAGCTATTTGCTTATTTCTCTGTGTAGTTTTGCTATTCATTTGGAAGACAAAAACAAAAAAAAGATTATCAGCTGCTCTTGCTGAACGCAATAATTTAAACTCTCTGACTTTATTTATATTTTCAACTTTGTTTTTAATATTTTATTTTTATATAGTAAAAAAAAAATCATAGTATCATAAGGCATTTACTTCCAAAAAGTGACAACCAAAAATAGTCTATTATTTAAAATCATGTTACAAAGAGGACCCACTAGTTATCACAGTTTTACAGGATCACAGGTAGTACCTATGGAAAATTCTATCAGATCACTAAGTCCATCTTTCTGCAAGGGCAAAATAAAAGCTGTATGATATCTAAATGGATTCTGCAGATCTTAAAACAAGCCAAGCAAAGATTTATAAATATCCAGTTTTTGGTAACACAAGCAATTTTTGTTTCCTGTTCCTGAAACACCTTTGCCAGTATCTTATTACTGAGTGGAATGCTTGTCAGAGTTACTTACCTTTCTTCTACACTAGTCAGATTATCAATTTCTGTCATAACCTCTGCTATTTCAAATTTTAACCTCTGCCAAAAGAAGGAAAGGAAAGTAAGTTAACCAACCAGTATTAAAGCATTTTTAAAGATATTCACTCTGCCATAAACAAAGTTAATGTGATCAACGTAGATTTCATTTTATTTATGAGTCAGTAGAGCTGTGAGAGAATTGCACAATCAGGGCTCGCTAGAAGCAGTATTAAAAAAGAGCAGAGCCCTCTATTCTAGCTTGAAAACTCAATGTGGAAAAGAGAGGCTCTACTGAAAATCTTACTTGGGACATCCTAATAGTAATATGACTAGATTAGCAAGGAAAGGAAGGAGGAGAAGGCCACAGATCATGTGCAAAGACGGTGAGCTGGAGATATCATACTCTTCTAGATGTGGTCCCTACTCTTCCCTTTTATTACCGGCCTTTGCAAAAATGAATCATAATGCAGAATGGTGGTGAGGGTTTTCTGCAATAAATAGCAGTGGGATTTTTTGTGCTATCCAAACAGGAATCAATAAAAGTTGTTGCCCATTTGGGATATATGGTTTGAACTTTACACCAGCATTAATTCATAGATAGACATTTGTATCTTGTCACTAGAACTCTACTGGGCTCTCTTGTCACTGAGCTCTACTCAGACCATTAGATCCAAAAACCTCCTCCCAAAAGCAACTTATGCTGAGATTCTGTTCTGACTCTCAGTCCAAAATTCACTGCGTAGGGCCATCTCTCCTGGCCACTGATGCCAAGTTCTTAATCTTTCATAGTGTATTTCTCTTATCCTTTTTCATAGTCTCATTGCCAATACAAGTATTATAAGTTTCAGTATGAAAATTCCCTGCTCCAATATCTCAATTCACTACTTCCCACAATCATCTCCAGTATTTCTGTATATGAAGTATTAACTATACAAATGAAGTGTATGTAGATACACACAATGTATTATACAGATTCAGGGTAAAATTTTCAAAAGTGCTTGAATGACTTAGGAATTTAAGGACTTGTCTACAAAATTAGTTTACAGCAAGTTGGGGTGTGAATCTAGCCCACACTAGCCTGCCCCGGACTGACTAACTGTAATGTGTTTTAGTCTATTCCTCTTTGAAACATGACTAGTTAGATCAAAGAGCATCAACAAACTGTTAATGCGTGTCAGCACAGTGCACATGAACAGTTAGTCTGCAGCATGGTAGTGCAGAGTAGATTCACACCCCAGTTTGCCGTGAAATCATTCATGTAGACAAGCCTTAAGTCTCACTGAAAGTCAGTAAGATTTAGGTTCTTAAATCACTATGTAAAATTTTCAAAAACGCTTAAATGACTTAAGAATCTAAACTTAATTAACTTTCAAGTCACTTAAGTGCTTTTGAAAATGTTACCAAACAATATATAATTATAAATCCATCATAACATATTGCTATAACATTAAATGTACTGAGGTAGTCTTCTTTGCATCTTTATCTGATAGATAAATAAATTACCTCAATATCATCAATTAGTTCTTTTTTCCTGCGACGAATGTTTAAAAGTTCTTCTCTCTCTTCTATGGAGAGATCATCCGGTACTGAAAATAAAGCAAATTTATATACTATTATCAATCGCAGACAAATTAAAGAAAAGCAATTTTTACAAGAAAATGCTTTAGCTAAAAATATGAGGAAAAAAATGGCATATACCCATTGCTACTGAACTTCCACTTTATAAATCATAACTAAGGCAATTCATTGAATTAACATCACCCCCAAAAGATTCTAGCATTCAAAGAAAGCAATACAGCTGTTGGGGACTCACTATCATATAATGGGTCTTATGACTTGGGTCTACACTTAAGTGGCCAAATTCATAAAAGAAATCATTGGAATTATACCAGCGATGGGCCAAAGTTGTTCGTACTTTTTAAAAAGGAGATTCCTAAAATTACCCTATGTAGGTTTACAAAATGTATTATGACTTGTAAAGTACATGCATTCATCAAATCTTTCAGGAAATAATTACAATATTTATATATAGGCTCCTTATGGAGATGTGGTCTGAAATCAGCACCAGGATACAGGATTACATTTTATTTGGTTGCTTTGTATGGCAGGTACTGTACTTGCAATACTGCTGGCATCTTTAATATCAATTACTTTTATCAGCAGGTAACATTTTTATTCATTACAGATAAGGACACAGTTGGAAAACATTAACACAGCATCTCATATATTCAGTGTTTTACAATAACATTTTTAAAAGTTTGCCATATTTAAAACAACTTCTCTCAACTGTTTACTTAGTTATACTGAAATAAGAGTGCTACCCCGCTGATAAAAGTAATTGCTACTGAAGATGCAAGCACAGTGCTGTATATATCTGCAGCTGAACCTCAGCCCACCACTACTTCCCCTGTTGCCCTTGTCTGGCAGGCAGGAAACCTGAGCTATTGCTCCAATAATATCTCAGCTGTTTTCTGGGCAATCACATTTTTCCTTGCCCGTTAGTAAGCATCCTAGGCAGGGGCTGCATCTCATTTGTTTGTACTACACTAAAGACATTGTCAGTGTTCAATAAGCAACAGTATTCACATTTCTTTCGGATTTTCATGTACTGTGGTTAACAGTTTGAATGCTAGCTGTTCTCAAGGAAATGTTTTTGTTTTAATTAAGATGACAAAGCAGCTTGCCTCACAAGCTCAGTAAAATGCAACTATTACAATAATTAGCAAGGGTTCTGCACCAAGTGAGATGTGTGCCAAATGTAGTAATTTTAAATGGCAAAAGCCTTCTCCTTTTCTAATGCACATGCATTTAGCAGGCTATAGAGACAGACCAGAAACAAAGATTTGGATTTATTTTTAAATATATTTGAAATTTGAAGTATATCTTCTTCTGATAGTCAATGGTCAAGCTCCAATTGTAAAAGTTTGCAATTTTTTTATATATATTCTCAACAGAATACAAATTAAAATGGCAACATTGTCTATAAGCCACTACTAACAAGTGATCTCATTTAACTGTTCCAGGTACAAACATGATTATATTACTTGCAATTTAGGAAATGGTCAAGTCTTTTATTAAAAAAAAAAAAAAATTTTTTTTTTTGCCTGTTTTTTCCCCCTATATATTTCTCACTGGAAACCCATCCCCTCTTAAAAAAATTTCTCAGAACAGATACTGACACATCTGAAACACAGGATCATTCATTTTACATCAAGCTTTACAAAGAGATGTATTGTCTTTTACATACAAGTCTTAAGATTTAGAACAGCCAAAAATCTTGAGTTTGTTTAATAAGCAGTCTAACACACACACGTGCACACACTCTTCAAATTAAGTTATTTAACTGATTTAGACTAATAAAAATGAAATGAATGTTATATAATCTCAACTATCAGAAAGTCAGTTTTTTAGCTGGGAAGTTCACTCAAGTCTCCCTAAAAGTGTTTTTGCTGTGTTATATGGTTCCTCATTTTTATAGTTTGCAAAAACATATACGTAGTTAAGAAGTCACAGTTCCAGTAACAATTCAAAGTATTAATTAAATTTTAAATTAATGAAATCTAATGTCTACAATTTTAATTCAAAGGGTATCAAATATTTAGATATCCTACATAGCTGCTGCTTTTTATTTCACAGTAAATTACAAAATCATTACATTAGCTGCCTTTATGAGTTCTTTACACAGCAGAATGTTGCATTAGTCTTGTTACAGTTTCTCTTGGTAGTTTCGTTTTGTTTAATACCTGATTGAGAAAGTTAAAGAGTCAAATCTCCACTGAAAACTAATTCAACTTCTACTCTGAATTGACAGGACTTATGCCTGAATTAAGTACTGTAGGTTCAGGCTGTCCAGTGTAGGGAAAAGAATTACTCCATTATTTTTTGTAGAATCTTCAACTATAGTGTTTCATTTCTTCTTATAGCTCTATAGCAGCAATACACAGACATGCTGTTCCCAGACACAGACACATCCATGCTTATATGATTAATGATATTGTCGCACAAGAAGAAAAGTAAAACCAAATGGATTCATATTGTTTTCTGCTGCACTGGGAAATCACAAATTATCCATTTGCCGGATGGAAAAGGAGAAAAATCAGCAGGGAAAGAAGATTCTAAACAGGGTAATTTAAGGCAGTGGTCCTCAACTTATATAGCATTGTGCCTCACTGCCAGCAGCCCCGACACTGGACCCCAGACCCACGCCGCATGGGGCCAGCCGACTGCCCACCCCAGATACCCAGTGGTTGTTCCAGAGCTCGCAGGGCCAGGCGGCTGCCCCGGAGCTTGCGGGGCCAGCCGGCTGCCCCGGAGCTTGGATCCTGCAGGGCCGGCCAGCAGCCTCGATCCCAGAGTCCCACCATGTGTGGCAGGCCAGCAGCCCAGACCCCGCCGTGCTGGGCAGCAGGGCAGCCGGGAACCTGGACCCTGCCATGCGGGCTGGCCTTTAGCACACAGCTGAGCTGGGCCGCAGCAGTGTGCTAATTGGGCCACATGTGGCCTGCTAGCCACTGGTTGAGAACCGCTGCTTTAAGGCTTGTCTACACTGCCCTGCAGTTCGGATTAAGGGGGTGTGAATAGCAGTGCACATCAAAGTGCTGCACTGTAACGCCGCTGTGTGGGCACTGCAGGCACAAATGTAAAGGTTCCAAGTTTGCACTAAAGTAGTTCTTGCTCCACCACAGACTTCCTGTGGGACTTTGGGCAAGTCAGTTAGGACTTGTCTAGACGGAGCGTGTGTGGCAACCTGGGCATAAATCTACAGTGCATTAGTATGACACACACTAACAGTCCGTGTGGATCCTGCTACAGCACACTAGGAGTATCCCATCAGAGTAGATCAATGAGCACTACCGAACTTTTTAGTGCATGGTAGCAGGCTTCACACAGACAGACAGTGCATGGCAGGCTAGCACATGCTTGCACCCCAGCTTGCTACACGTTCTCCATCTAGACAAGCCCAGAGTCCCTCTGTGTCTCAGTTCCTCATCTGTAAAATGGGAATAATAGTATTTCTGTACCTCAGGGAATGGTTGTAATAAATGCATTAGAGACTGTGAGGCACTCAGATACTACTGAAATGGGAGGCCCATATGAATATGTAAAATTTGATTAAATTAATTAAAAGGTTTATCATAGATAAAACATGTCATTTTTCAATGTGAGAAACACCAAAGTAGTATCTCTCTCTGATATCATTCAATTCAAAATAATTAAAGTCTCACACACAAAAAATATTTGCAACAGTACTAGCTAGATCAAAAGTCACCACAGTGATGTTAGAGTCTTCTCCGAACAAAATAGCAGGCAAATCTAGTTTAATTTTTTTGAAGGTGCCTGCCACCATTATATCGGCACCGCAGGTTATGCCAGGCAGAAAGTCATTTCTTCTGGAAAGATAGCAGTGGCCACTGTGGTATCAACTGCAAGTGGAATCAGCACCTTTAATAAATTCCCATTTATAAATAAATAAAATTGCTGTTGTGCTTAAAAGGTCTGAAAATGTCATTGAGATTTTTGGCATGCAGATTTCTTGTGCCTTCACAGCAAGCTGACTAAAATGATCCTATAAGTAGGCTCCAAATCCACTGTTTGAATCATAGAATATTAGGGTTGGAAGAGACCTCAGGAGGTCATCTAGTCCAATCCCCTGCTCAAAGCAGGACCAACACCAACTAAATCATCCCAGCCAGGGCTTTGTCAAGCCGGGCCTTAAAAACCTCTAAGGACGGAGATTCCACCACTTCCCTAGGTAACCCATTCCAGTGCTTCACCAACCTCCTAGTGAAATAGTGTTTCCTAATATCCAAAATAGTTAGTCAATAGACCTCAATGACTTCCAATAAACATTCTACTGTCAAATCATTTCAGCACGTCTAAATAATCCACATACCTTCTTGACCTGTAAACGAAGAGACAAGGTGGGTGAGGTAATATCGTTTATTGGAACAACTTCTATAAATGAAACAGACAAATTTTCAAGCTTACACAGAGCTCTTCTTCACCCATCTTATCTCTCTATTATCCTGGGACCAACACAGCTACAACAACACTGCAAACAATGTAAATGAAGATGCTTGAGGCAGTCTTGTCTGAGTGCAAGCAGCATTCTGGGAATATTCTGTAGTTGAAATTCTGTTAACTAACATGTGTTTTTCCTTTTTAAACTTAGATACAGATATGGAACTATACATAGGCGTCTCTCAGAATACAAAATTACGTCTTTCTTCTGTATTACTTATTACTACTCATTTTCTAGATATCATCTTTGAGTCATTTCCGAAATGACTGAGGTTCAACACTTCTGAACACAACGTATGCAGGGTGGGAGGAATGAATGTGTCCATTTAAACAATAAAGCCAAACAAAAACCTTCATGGACTTTTTGATGGAAAAAATATTTCAGTATAGTGAGGAAACTGCAACAATCACATTTTGAGGTTATCTTCAAATCTTTACACAAGGGCAATTTTCCATGTTAATGTAAAAGATATTGTTAGCTCAGATTGAATAATTCATTATCATGAAGACTCAATCTTGCAGACTAGTAAATGTGAAGTCAATATATTAACTAAATTTTTACTGA